GGTGCAGACTAGATTATATAGACTTATACATACCTTATATATGTGAGAGATCATTCATCTCTCCTCAACATACCTTATAAATGTAAGAAAGAGATGAAGCATCGGAGCATTGATTCTATAGGCTTATACATACCTTATATATGTAAGAGAGGGGGAGAGAGATGATGGTTCAGACTAGATTCTAGAGCCTTATGCATGCCTTATCTATGTAAGTAAGAGAGGGAGGTGCTTCGCTTGAATACCCTAATATATCAATATAAGCCTTTTATTGAATCAAGAATCGAGTCTCTCTATGTCTAGGAAACTCACTGCCTGAAGAGTCATCTTAGTCCATCTCCATAAGTTCCTCTATTTATTATAAATATGATCTTGTCTAGGGCATCACCTCGCCAGTCACTCCCCATTCCATAACTCTTGGCTGTGTTTTTCTCCGTTACAATTCAATTGTTACAAATTAACTGGCCGCACTAATGTTTCACGCTTGCTTAGCCGCCACAGCTCGCCAAGCTGGCCAGAGCTGCCTCGATATTGATGCTTGACTCTGCTTGGATTTGGATTTGGCTTTGGTTTTGGTATCGGCAAACGGCAACGCGACGCAGCCACAAAAACCGCTGACACAGTGCCCTTTGCCATCGACATGGGCATCCGACATCGGCATCGACATCGGATCACCGCCCTCACACTCTCTGCTGGCTCTCGAATGGGAGTCTACTACTCTACTCATTTACATCCGCATTGTTTTGGCATCTCATCCATGAAATTTATAGCTGCTGCGGACCGAGTGAAAGGTGCGCTGACTGCGCGACTCAATGACCATCTGACTGACTGTCTGTCTGTCTGTCTGGCCCTGACTCTCTGACTCTCTGACTGACTTGTTATCGCCCGTTTTGCAATTTATGTTTTTATTTAGTCGTACATGTGCCAAAATGTTTGTTCTCCCACGCTGCTAATTAATATACAAATTACGTAGCCTAATCAGCCATGCCACAGTGCTTTTCGCTGTGGCATGCAAATATATGCGGCAATTGGCCCCAAAAAAAAAGAAGGCAGAAACAATGCAAAGAACAATGCCACACCCTATCGACAAAGTTCTCTCGATATAGATATATATTTGCCTTTGGCTGGGGATGTCTATTTGATTAATGTGCCGCGACAGCCAAGGACAAGGCATGGCAGGATTTTTTTTTTTTGACTCTGGCTTAGTCACCTGGCTACATTGCATTGCATTTGGGCTTTCAGATATAAATTCAAATTGTGTCAATTACATTGCGGCGGCTGCTTATCGACGACAGCCACTGACAAACTGCCCGGCAATCGCAGTCACAGTCGAAGCTGGAGCTGGAGTTGGAGTTGTTGCAATTGCACTTGGAGCTGTTTGGCCTGACAAACCTGCAGCAACAGCAACAACAAAAACACCAGCAACATTTGGTTTCCATTTCGACTCGGGCATAGCCTGACATGTCTCTGCCAGCTTGAAGTTGTCGTCGTGTCAGTAGGGGGAAATAGTAGTACATACTACATAGATTTCCAGTTTCATTTTGCGGTTTCCTTCTTTTGTTTTTGTTTTCTTTATTTCGTATGTTTTATTATTTTTATTTCATTTTATCTTCGGTCTGCGCTTGGCTCACGTGTAGAGCGAGAGTTGTTTTGGCCACTTTGCAAATTATGCATATCTGGAAATTTATGCGGCGTTAAGAGATATTTATTTACTTTTTTTTTTATAATTATGTGAATGAATGAATATGCCGAGATGAGCAAAAGAGAAATTGTTAAATATTTTCATACATTTTTTATAATTTAGTTGGATTTAAAATAGATTTGTAAGTGAATGAGCTTTAAGAGAAAAGAGATGGAATTTTTCTGATTGGATTTCAATATTAAAGTTACAGCTGGTTTGATTTATGCCAGGGTTCCCATTGCTTCAAATTAGTTAAGATAATAATGCAATTCAATTTTCCCTTTATTTATTCATATAATTTTTTTTCTGGCATTAATATATGCCATATTTAATGTTGAATATATTTTAATTTTTATTTTTATTTATTTCTGTTAAATAATATGAATTACAATTATTTTTTACAAATTTATTATACGAAAAATTAATAGAAATATTTTCTGTTTTTATATTTATTTAAATATATATTGTAAATTCTAAGGATTTTTATAATAAATAAATCATCATACTGTTTAAAGAAATTATAGACACTGATCCATTTAATTAATTTATTAAAAAATAAAAATAAAAATATTAAAAAATATATTAAAACTTAATATTTTATTTATTAAGTTTCATATTACAAATATTTTTTTTTTATTATTAAATAATTATAAAAAATAAATATTTTTATTTTAAATTTTAGTTTTATAATATATAAATAATGAATGTTACATATAAATACATTGACTATAATAGTTGTACTGCCTTACACAAAACTTATATGTATGTATATTACATATATAAATTCCTCAGCTTTTTAAGCATGATTTCCATGATTTAAACCAAGACTCTCATAACTTCACTGCTCTTCTCATATTGCTCGAACAGCCCTCGCTGAGTGTGTGCAGTACACATGTATAAGAAACATTTAATTTATGAACGCAGGTTTTTCATTTTAATGCCAGGCATTAGAGCTGCCCTGCGGCTCCGCAGCGATCTGTTCTAATTGGTTTATAGATTTGTCTGACTCGATTTCTGCGCGCTGCGTTTGGGTTTGGGTTGGCGCTGCGCCGCGCTGCTCTGCTCTGTGCTCGATTGCCAATTGCTTTATTAATGGCCATTTGGCTGTGGCCTGGGCCAGACACCAGGCGAGGTCTCGGCCTGGGTTAATGTCATCCGTGGCCAGCGGGCATACATGTTGTTGTTCTTGTTGTTGTTGTTGCTGTTGTTGGATAAGTAAAAGTTATATGGCCAAAGTATGTCACGGAAATGGCTTAGTTAAAATGCGTGCGGCTACAAAGGGTGGGAAGGGGCGAGGGCGATGGTGTGACAGCTGAATAGTTGAATATATATATGTGTATGTATATGTATATGTATATATGTATATGTATACATGTATATGTATACATGCTGCATTAATAAACAGCAAAATAGAAATCGAAACGAACTGCTGAGCCAGCGAAGCGAAGGAGGAGGCCCTGCAGCATCTTAGCCGCACATGGGCATTGCCAAGACAAGCAACAGCAACAGCTAAAGCAACAACAACAGCTAAAGCAACAACACAAGTCAAGGCACATCCTTTAATGGCAGTCCGTGTTCGTTCTGTTCATTCTGTCTGTCGCTGGCAGGTCCGCCCGCCTGTCGCGCCTACTGCGTCAGTCAGTCAGCCAAGCGAGGCCAACAGCAACAGCAACAGTTGCTGCTGCTATTGCTGTTGCTGTTGCTGTTGCCCACTTGAACATGTAGTGCAGTCATCGTCGCGCATTTTAAAAGCCTCGCAACTAAATGCAACTCTCAACACGGCAACTTGGCAAGGACCGAGAAGTGAGCACTGCCTAGACAGGCCGCAAGACACGACAGCAACAACGGCAACAACGGCAACAACGGCAACAACTGCAACAGACGCATCGTCAAACATATAGGCTATGTGCTATAACTCATTAATATTAAATGCTGCTGCCAAGACAAGCCCCTTAGTCTGAAACACACACACACGCACACACTCGCACACACACACACAACGCACCGTTGTTGTCTCGCTGTGGCTGGAACTAAAAATTTATGCGCATTTTGTTTCAATTTCATACACACGTGACTTGTAAATTATCCATTGATGTGGCAAACGCGTTCCGATGCGAAGGAGGCGCGGCTGGGCTGCTATGGGTTGCGGGGGGGGCGTGGCCAGGAGCATTGGCGACAGGATGAGCAGCAGCAGCAGCAGGACTGCCAGTCTCTGTTGAGACGTGAGCTGCAAACGATTTCTTTTAAAATGATAATTGCAAAAGGCGACAAAAAATAAACAACAAAACTGTCTATAAATATATACAGACAATACATATATGTATATGTGTGTGTGTGTGTGTGTGTGCATATAAATGAACGACTGGCAGACACGCCCACGCGCACACAGATTGCGCCGCAGATACACAGAGTCACTCAGAGCTAGAGCGAGAGAGAGAGGGGGAGAGAGAGAGACACATGTGAGGCATGCAAATCTCTGCTGCAAGCCGCAAACACAAAAAGTAATCAATTTTCTTGTGGCGTGTTACAAAATGAAGCAAAAAATAAATAAATAAATAAAAAATAAACAAAGCAAAAATTATGCCAGCAGCCGAAAGCAAAAGTTAAGCGAGAACTGTGACAACAACTGTTGTTGCCCCGAAAAAAAAGTGAAAATTATGGCACGTTTCTGGTGTTGTTGTTGTTGTTGTTGTTGTTGTCGTGGCGGCGACGATTGCTGCTGCTGCTGCGACGAAGTTTCAGTTATAAAGCCATAAATACGCATATTAGCCTCATTTTAAACGTGGCTCGAGGCATACATATATGGGTATATGCTATGGGAGATAGTCTGAAATGTAAACGAAATGTGTGTACATATAGAACTATGTATATGTGTAAGTGTATATAGCTGGGGTCTTATATATACGTGGGTCTCAGCAAGGATAGAATTTCGCATAAATATGCATTTAGTTTGCTTAAGTTTGTTTCAAATATTCCAGAGTGCTGCTAAGGGTTCCCCTATCCCTATATAAGGAGAATAGTCTAAACTACTCAACAAGTTGATTTTATATACATTTGAAAAATCGATGCAGAATTTTTTACTTGAAATATAATAATAATAATACAAATCTTAATAATTAATATAGACTTCTCAAATGGACTGAACATATATAATTAAAATTTTTTGACTATTTTAGAGCAAAGAACATAGCTTAATACAGAATTTAAAGAGTGTTTTAGCTTAAGGCAGAAATATACAATTATTTATTAGCTTAAAAATATTTTTTTTTAAATTTTTTTTTTATTAAAGTAGTTAATTAAAAATTTTTAACTTTTTTTTTTTTTTAATTTATAGCATTAATTTTAAAGCAAATATATATTTATTCACTAAGCTGAAGCTCTAATTTTTCCTTCATAATTTAATTAATTTCATTTAGAAAATACATTTGTTTATTTTCTTTCTCCTCTTTCTCTTTATTCAATTAATTAGGATGGTATTGCCAATAATTTACTACTAAATACCTTTCGAAATAAATTGATTGCAATATCTGATAGATTTAAGTCAACATTTCAATTATATTTGTTTTTAAAAAATAATTCGATTTAAGCTTAGCAATTTTTAAAATTCTCTACAAGAGAAAGCCAAGCTGACCAAAATGTGTCAAGCTGGGCAAAAAGCGCGTGAGACAACCAATTGGAATTTTCAAGTCATCGGAAAGGAATCTGTGAATCTGTTAGCCTTCACATATGAACAAAAATGAAAAAGAGTAAAAAAAAGTCTAAATTAAGCTCACACATTTCATAAGAAAACACAATCTTCCAGCCACAATAAGCTGGTCAACTTTTGGGTTAACCCTCGTCTTGGCCCTCTCTCGCTGTGTGTGTTCTGCGCTGTCGAGATTTGGTTGGTTCTCATGACGTAATTAAGCATAATTACACATGTCAACAGCAAGCAGAGCTGATGTGGGGCAGTTGAAACTGAAAACAGCAAACGGAAGACGGGAAAACTGAAAATGGAAACTGAAAAGTTAGAAAACTAAAGGCTGTAGCTGTAGTTTCCCAAATGTTGTAGACGCAGTCGCAGTTGGTTTATTTTGACAGATTTCACTCAGTTCTTGCTCTGCATATGTGTGCGTGTATGTGTGCGTGCGTGTGTGTGTATGGCATATGCAGGAAATGTTAAATCTGAACAATAACAACGCATGGCTCATTTCCATTGTCGTCTACACGACTTGCCTCGACTCGCAACGCATTGAGACTTGTTGCTGGATTTCCTTTGGGTAATTATTTGCATGCAACTTGTGCGTCTTCTGCTGCCACTCAGCTTTGTGGTCAGACCCGGACCCAGGCCCAGCCCTGCCCCGGTCAAAGCTCGAAATTAACCCAAGTGGCATGTTGAACCTAAAAAAATAAAAATAAAACAGCAGAGCAATACGTTAATAATGTAACAGCAAATAATAATAATGAAAAATATATATACGAGAGATGTTGAGGATTATGATTAATGCTGAATATGAAATACTCTTGCTGGGAAGATTGTAGAAGTGGGATGTGTGATATGCGATATATATTGATGTGATATGATATACGATATGTTTATGCATTTCTATTTTTATTTAATCACAAATTCACTTAAAGTTAGGCACTAGCTATTGAGGAAGAGATTAACTGAGGCTAGAAATTGATTTTGTTTAACTAACACTTTAAGAAGTTAGACAATCTTTATAGACCATCAAGCTGCTGTCTCTCTATACCCAATATATATCATGATGAGCTAGTATATATATACTTATATAGAATTTATAGACTTTTCAAGATAGTGTCTCTATGCCTAACACATATCATAATGATCTCAGCATATCTCTGGAGAGTTCCCAGATATACTGATGAGTATACATATCAAGATTATATAGCACTTACACAGGCGCTTCAAGCCTTTGTCTTGCCTTGCCTAACTTAGCTCAGGATCAACTTAAAATACCAGAATTTTTTTCGATCAGCATCAACTTAAAGTACCAGATTTATTAGTATATATTATTCAAATCAATTCCTAAAGGTTGATCAAAGTACATACTCCATTCCATTTCTCAATTGCAACTATATCACACATACATACTCTATCCCTCTCATGTCTTACAAACCCCATCACAGACGCATAAGACCCGCTTGCAGAGTAATGAATGCCTCAACTTGTCTGCTGGTTAGCCCCATCGTATTTCAGTTCTCATCTGCTCGTCTGTCCGGCTCTGCGTTGGCTTTAGCGTCTGCGGTTGATTTTTATGGTTTCATTAGTACTCCACATGCGCATGGTACATGCTACACGCTGGAGTAGATGTGCGGAGATGCTTCGTCTCGACTAACTGGTAGATGGTCTCAAAGATGCTACCAGAGACCGTCCAGTAGGCATTCGTTAAGTTGCGCATGCGTAGTGTTCAAAGTTGTTGTTGTTACTATCGTCGTCGTCGTTGCTGTTGTTGTTGTTGTTGTTGTTGTTGTTGTTGGTGGTGGCCAAGTTTTGTTGTCGAACTCGATGGCTGGCCTGAGAAAATTCTACTGACCCACAGAACTTTAACTTTTTGAGTGGCATTGTTCAATTTTACAACAGACAAACAACAACAGCAACAACAACGAATGGTTAGAAATTTCACAAGCCTGTTGGCTATTTTCCTGCAACAACAATGCGGCTGCCTTATATATTTGTTGTTGCTGTGGTTAAACTAAAGTCTTAGGTATTTGACTCTTAACCATTTATTGATGCCACAGCGAAATTCTGCCGACGCTGCTGCTGCCCCTGCTGCTCTGCTGCTCCTGCTGCTGCTTATGTTAAAACCGCAAAGCCAATAGCCAACACCAATGTTGTGCTTATGTTTCATGCACTTGTCAACTGCTGTGAACGAGCCACATTATTAATATTACCCAACACTGACCAACAAAGCAGCTAAAAACAAATATTGTTCATGGCTGGCTTAAAGCTGTTTCTCTCTCTCTTTCTCTCTGTGTGTGCAACATATGCATAGGTGTGTGGTGTTGGCAATAAGAAATTGCGGAAATCGCCAATCGAAATGGAAAACATTTTCATTATTTGCTGCCGCTTTTGGCCATAAACAAGCCGGCTGCCCAGGTGTGTGTATGTGCATGTGTGTGCGTGTGCGTGTCACAAATTTATGACTGCCAACATAAATTTGTTAGCCACAGAAAACATATTTTGCCTGCGAGTGCGCCGAAAAATTGTCAACTGCGGCCATCTACGATGGCAAAGTGAATTTTTTTTACTTTTTCGATTATTATTTTCATAGGTTTTTTATATGATCATTGACAGTGGATATATAGGGTATGATTACGGCAGGGACAGAGACATCTGTTAGTAAAATATAAGGTAAAGTAATATAAAGTAAAAAGTAAAGCTGAGTCGTTTTAGAGCACTATATCTAGCTATCTCTGGGTCTATCTGGAAAATTAATAAAACAAGAGATTATACATTTTAAATCATATTTATATATGCCATAAAAGGGAGATTGGTGACAGTATATTGCAAAGTCTTGATATCGATAAATATCGATAGTTACTGATAGTTTCTTAAGCCGAAATTTGTACTTGGAATGTCAATGCTAGTAAGGTATATGTATACATATAACATCTATAAATTATGTATTTAAATAAAACATAGTGCTGACTTTTTTAAATGTAGAACAACTATATTTGCAATCTATATTTATATATAGTTGTCCTACATTTTAAAACAAATTATATATGTTACTTTGTAGTTTTACAGAGCTACAAATAGATTTGTGTCTAAGTAAACAAAATCAGATTTGCTCAAATCACCATCCCAACTCAAGTTACAGCATATCTGCTAGTTCAGCATACCCGCCTAGAGCACTCATATTTATTTCTTGCTATTATTTTTTGCATGCCATCTGACATTGCCATTGATTTATCTCAATTCGCTTGGCCACACTGCCGTCAAGTGCTATAAACAAGAAATTTGTAATTAAACGCGCCGCAGCAGCAGCAACAACAGCAACAACAACAACAACTTGCTGATTTGGCTAATAATTTTTGGCAGTCACATAAATTGGCCGCCTGTTTGAGTTTTCGCCTTCCGTCTGGACTTCAATTTCAGTTTCCGCCTCTGATTGCATGTTGAGCGTCTGGTTTCTAAGACACTTGGCTAGGATGCACCAACAGAGCTGATGATGATATAATGTTTGGTCAGCTTACGCTTGCAGCATGTTGAACGCTCTGTTTGGCGGAGGCGGGTGCAAGTGATGCCACATGCGGCGCGCAATGCTTTCGCCCACCCGCTGGCTGGGCAATTAGTTAGTTAGAGCCAAGTGCCAGGACATAAGTCCTTTGAAATTTATGTTCTGCGCAATGCTCAGATCCCTGACTCAAAATTCAAATGTGCCAAAAAACAAAAAAACAAAAACAAAAAGGTGTGTCAATTGCTCTTGTTGTTGTTGGCTTGCGACGGCGCACCCCGTGATTTATGTAATGCATGCGAATTTTCATTGCTGTGTGTGTGTGTGTGAGTGTGTGTGCAGGGTAGTCAACGGCCGCAGCCATAAATATGTCAATATAAACAGTCAGCCAAACAACTGCAGCAGCGGGAGCGGGAGCAGCAGCAGCAACAAGCGAAACATTTCAATAAAAATCAAAATCAAAATCAATAGCAAAAGTTGGCCAAAAATATATTGAAGCTGCTGGAAGTAGAGACTAGAAGAATACCCTGTAGTATAGCGTAGTATGCATGAAATGAGAAAGAGTAGTTAATGGCCTTCGGGCAAATATAAAAAATATAAAATATAATATAAATAAATGGAACATCGGATGGCTAGAATTTACTCTTCAAACGTGTATCAAAAGAGAAATGAAGTCTAAAATTCACCCTAGATAAATTGCATTAAGTAAGCAAGATTACAGTAAGCGCTCTCAATATGTATTATATGCAAAATTAGATATGGAAAACCAAATATAAAACACTCTTTAACAGCCAATGGTAAAGACAACTAAGAAGAAAAACTTGATAGAGTATATAACCTTTAACAGATCATATATAGACAACATAGACAACATATTAATAGTTTCTATCTGATCTCAGCTATAAAGTTCAACAACAAGCTTGCTCTTAAGGAGTGCTCCATATACAATGTAATTAAGTAGTCCTCAATTCCTAACTGCATAAGAGAGAAATAGAAAGAGAGAAGAACACAGTATGCAGGTCGTATATATGATATACATAGTACTCTTAACCTCTCTTTCTATTTCTCTGCGGCTCTCTATCTTCATACAAATATAAAAAATATATCTTTGCAAGTTTGAATACCTTACCTGTATAGCCATATTCTTGTTCTCTTTACCTACTTATTCTGTACTCCCTCCCACTCTCTTCTGCTCTCGGTCTCGCTCTCCCTCTCTCTCACTCGCTCGCTCTCCCGTCTGCATTCCCTCTCACTTTCTATCTTTCCCACTTTTATATCTCTTTCTCAATCCATATACACGAAAGTCTGCAGCTCTCTCTATCTTCCATTGTCTGCCTCTATGTCCATCTCTCTCTCGCTGTGTCTCTCCCTCTATCGCCATACAAATCCTTTTAACATCTCTCCAGCTGCACTCAGCTCTAAACACTTGAATGACTGAACTAAAATGCCCGCCAAATACGTGCCCGTTACCTAATCACTCCTTAGTTTTATATACCCCGTTAAGCATTTGCAGATATGTGTGTCTATGTGCATGTGTAAAACGCCGGACGCTATCAACTTTAATGCGCCTTTGTTTCGGGTCGTCGACAATGTTTGTTTTTATTGTTTTTGTTTTTGTTGCTTTTGGCAGGGCTGGGGTGCAATTTGGGTTAAGTGGGGGAGGGCATAGCGGTGCTGCGGGGTTAGCCATTGTCAATAGCCTACAAATTGGCGCAGCGCATGGCGGCAATACATTTTTGAGTGGCTCCAATCGTATTTTTGTAGCCACAGGGGTTGAGTAATCGACAACGGCAAGCTATCCAACAATTCAGCGCCATATCGCACCGAGCTCCATTGCCATCGAGTGTGCCCAGGTGTGCAGAGCTGACGCAGCAGCAGCAGTGGCAGCCACTGCGACACAATATGTTGGTCATATGCAGCAGCAGCAGCGGCAGGAACAAGACCCCATTCTGTGGCATGACACCGTTGAAGGTGGCCCACTAGCCAAATACTGGCTGGCGCCCCTATAACTGGGCCCATGCCAGCAGCCGTGCAGCCAGCAGCCGTGCATGACTCAGGTTCAAGTTGGCGGCATGACTTTCAGACCGCTGACACACAAAATACACACAAACACACACACACACACATATATATAGACACACATATATATCTATATATATGTATATCTCTACATATAAAATCAAATGGCAGGCGTTTATT